GTCTGCTACATCCCTATAGACATTGGCAATGTCCCCCACTTGCCAACTTTCTTGACCACCCACTTTTCCTTTATAACGATATAATTTCTCCTTACTGATTTTGATATCTCTGGCAAGTTTCCTTTCTTAGCCGTTATAAGCTGCTTTGTTGCCCTTTGCCGTACCTCTCCCATTCAGCAGGATCCTTAGTGTTTTTTTACATTTTTATAAGCCCTTCTGGTTTAATGCTGTTGCTTATCTCTTTAATTGTTCATGACTGTTGTGTGTAGTGGAGCGTTCCCTTCTCAGGCGTATAAATTAGTTTTGTATCATGTTCAATGCTTCCTTAAACATTCTCCATTGCTCTTGTTTTACCTATTAGCAGATTTTCCCAGTTTACTTTGGTCAGTCTCTATCTCATCTCATTAAGGTTGGCCTTACCTAAATGTAAAGCTCATTAGGTACATCAGAATAAACTTCAAATTCCTTCCAATTACCTAATTTCTCCAACTTTGTTCCTTTGGTTCGTTTATTTTCTCGTGTATTGACTAACTAAAACATTGTCATGAGTATTTTTGCTACTATTCCTATCTTGAGACAGTTCTGCAGCCCTCATTTCATTTGCAATTTATTCAAGCTGTGGCCTAAATTTGTCCTTTGGTGCCTTTAGGTACCATTGCTATAAAATCTCTTTTAGCATGTCTGGAGGCTTTCCCTTTGGTATGTGATCACTTTCTATTGCAAGACTCAATCTCAGGTATGTAGTGTTAAAACCTGCTTGTGCTTCTATCTTCCATTGTTTTATTCCATTCTGCCAACACATGGACATCACTTCTTGGTCACCATCTTGAATACTTAACCAATATTTAAAACTTGTCAGCAGCTTTCATGCCCCACAATCATGACATCACCCCATTTAGTGAACACTTCTGGAATGTGTGTCACCAATTTTCCACTTTAGGCAATTTTTTTTTGCTGTGATAGCCCTGTCTTCCGCATATCATTATTCAGCTTCCTGTCTTCAGATCCCTGAAGTATTCTGGTGTGTCATAGGACAGAAGTATTCATGTATTTGATGCTCAATGTCTTCTGTCGACCACTCAATTTCCAATCAATTCTTATTAATTGAGAGGAATGAACCTTAACGGTTTGGGTGCCATGTTGCGTAACCAATGATCACACTCGCCTTTAAAAGGACCTTGCCATATTTTATGAGTATTTTCTTTCATAAATTTCAGTCAATCTTACGACTTCTCTCTAAGTCCACAGACTTACTGAAAGTCCTTTTCTCACTGCATCTAAATCATTCAAGTGTGCAAAAAAATCCCTCAAACTGATCATATTCCATTCAACACAATATAATTTGGGATCGTACCTACAGGATTGTTCTCAAAGGCCTAGTGACAGGGGCCAAACCAGCTGAGGTGAATTCTTCGCACGAACCACCAGTGTAGTTGTCAACCTGTACCTTGGTTGACCTGCTAAGATATTATGTAACGTTTCACAGAGCCCACTGCTCCAAGGGCCTTCAGCTGTGGCATTCATCACCATTATGCACATATTCCCACACATCTGTAAAGTAGTCATTAACATATTATCTCCCTCAGTCAAACTTAGACAGTGCTCCAAATGCAGACCTTATCTGCTTATCCATGGCCCGACCAGGAAATCCTTTTGTCATTGGCACATATTACTTTGGAAAGACTAAATCTGGTTGACTTTTCAATAAAGTACAAAATGAAAATAACTGTGTGTCACATAACTGTTGAGCTCATGATCTAAAGGCATGTGCCAACTCAAGTTTTACAGTAGGATGTAATGGAAGGTTACAATTTTACATTTTGCATCAAACTGATTCATCTTGCATATTCTGCATCAACCAGACTTGATGTTTGTGACTTAATGTTGACTTGTTTGTGCTTTCTGATTATCACTTGATTAGCACTTAATACCATTAATATTTTTCGAACATTATGAAAAGCAACATCATGCTTTACTAAGAGAATAAAATTACGCACTGATTGGATCAAGTGCCAATTCACTTATTTTCCAAAAAGGTGTGTTTTAAATCAAGCTCCACATCCAGTTTTATTTGTGTTTTCTTTTCACGGAGTACTCATTTAACAGCACTACAGACCACACCAATTAGAATAAACTGGCTTACTCCAGCTATTTTGCAAGGAACTACCACACCCTTAGTTAAGGTCTTCTTATCCCCGAATTAGAAACAAATAGAACCTTCACAGTTATGTGAATCTTCAATGCTGAGTGAATCTAGATAACATTTTAGAAAGTCTCTTCACATACTACTGAAGTGTGATCATTATCTAATACCACACAGTCAAATAAATCCATTACTAATATACTCATTATTGGATTAAAGCCTCTCATAAATTTGTGCAATTCTTTCAGCGATCCAATTTCATCTTCAGTTTCCGAATTCTATAACAGAATACTGCCTTATCATTTTGGGTAAGATATCACAATGAAAGAATCACCTATTCAATGAACGAAGCACCTATTAAATGTTCCTTGGGCATTTTGGGGTTCATATGCTTACTCTTGCTACTTAAATCTGGTCATCCACCAAGGTATCCTGATCTGCTAAAAAAGTGTTTTCATCCACAATCCTTCTGTTTGTAACCCCTCCTTTCTACTGATACCTGTATACAGTATCTTGACAATTCCAAAATGCTGCAATCATCAAGCTTGACATTCTTTGTGACAACATAACATTTTGGAAGTAACAGTTTTATAAGAGTATATGTGGACAAATCACTGAAATTGGTAGAGTAGGATTTAAAAATAATTCATGGGCATTGGTGGCCATGCCAACATTTATTGTCCATCCCTAATTACCAGAGGGCTGTTAACAGTCAACCAAATTGTTGTGGGTTGAGTCACATGTATGCCTGAATGAACTTTTTCAACTTTTCCAGTGCTTGATGACTGAGAGAAATCTATAAAATTAGGCATGAAATAAACATTTACAGAGCAGATTGAGGAAATAACCTAAATAACTTCTAGATTACAAGATCCTCCTCAGCAAACTTTCTACTTAAGATCTTTGATCAAAGCAAAATGTTTAATATTAAAGTTGAAACTATAGGCCAGTTAGCTTCACGTGTGTCATCTGGGAAATGCTAGAATCTGTTATTAACGCAGTAGCAGGAGGTCACAGACATTATACCACTAAGCAGAATCAACATTATTTTATGAAAAGGAAACAGACAAATTTATTGCAATTATTTTAGGATTTAACAAACAGGCTAAGTAACAGGGAATCACCACATCCATCATCTACAAATCAGTAGTGTGATGGAATACTCCCCACATGCCTGGATGAGTGCAGCCCCAACAACACTCGAGAAGCTTGATACCATCCAGGACAAAGCAGCCTGTTTGATTGGCACCACATCTACAAGCATCCACTCCCTCCACCACGGCTGCTCAGTGGTGTCTACTATCTACAAGATGCACTGCAGAAATTCAAAGATCCTTAGACAGCACCTTCCAAACCTGTGAATACTTTCATCTAGAAACACAAGGGCAGTAGATACATGAGAACACCACAACCTTGAAGTTCTCCTCCAAGTCTCACCATCCTAACTTTGAAGGAACAGTGATATATTTCCATGTTGCTGGGTCGACATTCCAGAATTCCCTCCCTAATAGCATTATGGATCACAGTGGTTCAATAATGCAGTTCACTACCACCTTCAAGGGCAACTAGGGACAGGCAATAATTGCTGGCCAGCCATCAGCACCCACGTTCCATAAGTGAATTTAAAAAATGCATTGTAAATTGGATTTCCAGAAGACATTTGATTAGGTGCCACCTAAAAAGGCAACTGCATAAGATATTATATGGCACTGGAGGGTGGTATATTAGCAGACAAAGATGATGAGCTAACAAATAGGAAACAGTTATGTTAATGGAGTCATTTTAAATTTGCAAAACAGAGCATGGCTAATGCCTTAACTCTTTGTTATTTACATTAATGTCTTGGATGAAAGGACTGACTGCAGTGCAGCCAGGAAGATAGGTAGGAGAGCAGATTGTGATAAGACCAAATAGGATGAAGCGAGAAAAAATTTTGGCAATGGAATAATGTGGGAAAATGCAAGATTGCTCACATTAACAAAAATGGAAAAATCACACTATTATATTGCTGGAAAAAGACTGTAGAATGCTACAGTACAGAGACACTTGGGGGTCTTTGTACATGAACAATAAATAAAACCAGTATACAAGTGGTGCAAGTAATTAAGGAGGCAAGCAGAACAGTCTTTATCGCAAAGGGATCGAGCATAAAAATAGGTAATTCTTGCAACAATTCTACAGTGCAACGGTGAGGTCATATATGGAGTATTGTGTAGTTTGGGTTATCCTATTTGGGGAATATAATTACATTGGAGTTCACAGGAGAAGGTTCAGTCATTGCTGGAATGAATGGATGATTGGCTATGTATTAGCATTTAGACGAATGCCAGGTTATTTTTTGAAATGTACAAGACTCTGAAGGGGTTGATAGGGAATCTAGGACTGGGGGACTTAGTTTGAAAATAGGGGATCTTTTATCAAGGTAGAAAGGAGGAGGAACTTGTTTGAGAGTCATTAATGTTTGCAATTCTCTCCTCAGCAAGCAGTGAAGACTGGGTCACTAAACATATATACGCAAGGCCGAGTTATATTTTTGATAACAAGGCAAGAGGGAGCAGACAGAAAAATGAAGTTAAGGCCACATTATATCCAGCATGATTATTAAATGGCAGAGCAGGCTCCAGACACCAAATGACCCACTCCCACTCCTATTTCTTAAGCAAAAGCCTATTTTATGAAATCAGTAGCTTCCTTCATATCAAACACATTTTTAATTAAGGCAACGTGAAATAAACTTTAATATCAAATTTTCCACTGCAATACACGACTGCTATTTGAGGGGGTAAAAATTAGCTCATAAAAATCCATTAGCTAATGGATCAGAATGTTGTACTTGGAATAAAGATTTGTTCCTTACCTTGCTTAACAGTAAGTGGACATGGCTGGCACTTCCCTGCATGGCATACCTGGGCACATGTATGCTTCCCACAAATTAGGAGATTATCACACACGTTACTGCAGTGAATGGTTCCTGGTTGCCCACATCGAACTGACTGGCTGCAAAATTAGGGGAAAAAAAAAGTTAAAATCCTCTGAAAGGATTTAAAAGATTATTTCACAAAATACATAAAAATAACTGAAGCAGTAGATTCGTTATGAAATACTTACTGGGATCACTTATATAAAAAAAAAGAATTACATCTAAATATTGGCAAAAGGACATGAGTGCACAACCAAAGTTAAACGCCAGAACAAGTCAACAGCACATATTTGGCCAGTTTGAAAATAGGCATCCATATGATGAGGACAATAAAACATTTAACTTCTTTGTATATCAGATATTTTATTTTCTATTCACCAACCTGGTATGGTTTTCAGATATTTTTCCTCTAATCTGCATATCCAAATTCAAGGCTCACTACGTTCTACACTTTATTCCAAACATGGCTTTATCAATTTGTCATACCTTTTTTCCCCCACTTATCACAAGGGTTTGCGTAGAAGTCTAGTACTTAATATCTGCAGACCATTTTAGAACAGTCGTCAGAGAGCCGAGACTGTTTGGTGTACTGAATAGGGCTGAATGGAGTTTTTACTTGGGATGTAACACTTCGCATGGGTAAAAGCATAAAGATGCTTGCTTGAGAAAGGTATCAAATGGTTGCTGACACTTGGAAGCAAACCTATACATGACTTTCAAATCAGGATATGGTGTTCGAAAGGGAAAAATGTAGAACAGGTATGATTCCAGACACAGGTAAGACTGACTTCAATGCGAGAAAACAAAAACCATTCAAAAAGTGAGCAATTTTGTTGATAAGTAAAATGATAACTAGAAGTTGTTCAAAAAGCATTGATATGATAGGTCCCTTTGTAGTAGTAAATCCAAGTTTTAAAGAAATTAAAAATGAACAAAGAGGCAAGGAGTTTGAGACAAAGCTAAGACTAAACAATTATGCAAAAGAGGCACAGAACCTGACAAATAAAAATGATAGAACAGGAAAGGGCAAAAAAAATCAAGGGGCCACAAGAGGGAGTATGAAAAGAAGCTTAAGAATATCAAATAAAAATTATTCATAACTAGAAAACAAAAGAGAGGGTGGTCAGAAGCATTGCATCAGAAGCCATTTGATAATTCTATACAGCGCCTTAAGTATTTGCAGCAAACTTTGTTTTAACCGGCATCTCATGAACCAGCAATAAAAATATACCTGAAATGCTAGAGGTTTACTGTATTATCGCAATCTTCGTGATGTCCGAGTAGTCAGTTGAGCGTGCGAGTGAGTAGGCTCTCTGCCAGTACGTTTTATTTATGACAAGTTGCATTATTACTTAAGTGCCTTATGCTGTAAATAAAGTATAAAGTATAACTGATGTGCATACCCTCTGCATTACGTTTCTATTACTTACTATGCATTTTTACATTGACTATGTGGACCTCTTGTTCCACTGGACTATTTGATTTACTGGTAGATTCCTGGTTCCCGAAGTGCCAGTTAATAAAAAAAGTTTGCTGTACTACTACTCTAATATTATCAATGAAAATATGGGCGTGGCAGACAGAGTAATTACTGTGTGTTTGTATTTAAAGTGGGTGAAAAGGTCAACCTGCCATTGACAGCAAGCGAAGAGTTCGCAAACAAAAGGGGGCAGATGGAGTGTGGCTGGGAGCGGAAAAGGACTGGTAGAGAGTAGGAAGAGGTGTAGTGACTGGTAAAAGAATGGGAGAAAAGATGGCATGAATGATAGAAGGGTGGATGGGAGAGTCAGAGGAGGGAGGCAGATCAGAGGGAAAAGGTGGGTAGGAAGGAAGGAGGGGTATCAGGAAAGCCCATGAGCAATCAAGGAGCTTAATAGCCTACACTTATTCCTGGCAATGGAGTGGCAAGGAGGCACGTTTAGAAACCTATTCTCTTTAGGGTTTGCTTGTCATTACCACTCTACTATCCTTAGTCATTGTGGTACCGTTACAGCATTCACACTTTAAACTAATTTTTTGCATGATTTCCTAATACATGGGAGCAAAGAGAACATGTCAAATGCACTTGGAAAATGGTCCCGATTAAACAATGCAAGACATCTGAAACAGACATTTCCCTGAGAGTTTTGTTAAAAGTTCAGAATTCCTTTAAAAATGGAGTTTGACAACTACCTATCAATTAGCAATGTTGAAACCAGAGTTTGCTTGGAAATAAGTACTGGTGGTTGCTTTTACTTTCATGATTCTTATTTGAGGGAGGCAAAAACACTGAGTTACTTCCAAATCAAAATGTTTTATATCCTATCTTCAAAGTAAAAAAAGCCTCTGAGAAACTGTGCAAAGCTGTCAACAATATGAAGTACAATACTCGCACCCTTGCTGAACACTTTAAAATGTTGTACTGTCCAAACTGCAACATATTTCACAAAGCACTAAAATTGCAATTTGACAAGATCAATTTTACCTCAAAAAAAAAACTTACAAGATCTGCTGAGACAACCAGTTTAAGAACTATAAGAGGTCCCCTTAAACATGGCATTGATTGGGTAGTTTTCCATTCAAGGAAGCAAGGAGTGGCCCTCAAACTGGCTTTCAGCGCTGAATACCAAAAAGGTTCAAGGCACTTTAAAAGGAGCATACAGCACTTTGGTGCAAAAGATATAGGGGTGGTGGGCAGCGCGAGCACCATGGTGACATAGCAAAGAAAAAGACCTGTGTTTTTGTTTGTAATTTGAATAGAGGATTGGAAAAGACAAAAATCACACACGAGGGTAGATTAGAAATAGGAGTGATCAGACAGAGCAAAGATGAGGCAGTCTAAGATGGGCTTGGAGTACATATCCATAAATGCACATGGCACGGTCATTAAGATTGGAGAGTTGCAGGTACAAGATGATGCATGGGACAATGAAAAAAGTGACATTAGTAAATATTGGGAGGACCTGAAGATCAAAACAAAACAAAGTGAGGCATGTGACAAATGTTAGGTTCATACACTGCCTAGAAGTGTGCAAGTTCAATTCAGGCATTTGAGAGGGCATTAAATGATTATGCAAATAGAAATAACATGCAAGTTATTGGGGAAAAGTAGGAGATTGGCACTGGTAGAATGCTGAGAGTTGGAGGAGACACTGGCTGAATGGCTGCCTTCTGCCCAGAAATAGTCTGAAAATGCAGCAAAGATCCCACAGTCTGCAATAAGCTCAGATGTGAAAAAGGAAAATGAAAGCCCATAATCCGAGAACAGGTTTATGAGAAACATAAAAGGAAACCCAAGATTAATTTATAAACATGAAAATAGTAAAAAGGGTAGTCTGGTTTGGACAGAACCAATCAGGGACTAAAATAAGGATCTTCTCACGGAGGAAGTGGGCACAACTCAAGTACGAAATAACCACTATTCAACTGCCTTCACAGAAAGAGGATATTGCCAAAGTATTATATATTAAAAAGAAAAGAGAACTCAATAGAGCAATTGATGGGAAAATAACTGATTAAGAGTAGTACACCTTAAACAGTTGACAGTCATCAGACTACAAAACTTCACTCAGACTGGATGGGATACATCTGAGGGTACTAAAGGAAGGATGGATGGTATTTGTACAGGCTGCAGACACATTCTTTAATCTTCCTCAGAAATATAGGGATGATGCCAGAGGAGGAAATGATTCCATGGACTTTCAAAAGGCATTTGGTAAAGTGCCACATAATAGATTTGTGGAGTCAGTGGCAACACGGATGCAACATTGGTTAAGGTTCAGCATTCAGACAGTGGTGGTGACTGGCTGTTATTCAGATAGGAAAAACATGTTGCTTTCCAAGAACCAATGCCATATACAAAACTTTTAAGTGACCTCCCTGTGTAGCGGCATCCAAAACTAGATGCACAGGTTTAAAATGAGATGGAAAAGATTTAGGAGGGACCTGAGGGGCAACCTTTTCATGCAGAGGACTGTGCGAGTATGGAATGAGCTGCCAGAGGGAGTGGTGGAGACTGGTACAATTGCAACACTTAAACAGGCATCGACAGGTACATTAAAAATAAGTGTTTAGAGGGATTATGGTCCAAATGGGACCAGATTAATTTAGGATATCTAGCTGGCAGTTGGACTGAAGGGGCTGTTTCCATGCTGTACAGCTCTATGAATCTATGACCTGGGTATAGAGAGTTTAGATTTGAGATTTCTCAAAGTCATACAAGTCTCAAATGTATGAAGAGAACAGTAACAGAATTCAGCAGATGAAATGAAATCAAATGTGTTGATATGTTTTGGTAGGAAGAATGAAAAGGTAATATAATTTATTAGCAAACTTTTAAAGGGATGCAGCAATAGAGAAGTGCATACAACCTTTGAAGTTGGTTTGAAAAGTTGCAAAAATAGTTTTGTAAAAGGGGATCTTGCGCTTTATTAGAACAGGAAGGGTATTAAAACAAACTTTATTCATTTATGGGATGTGGGCATCTCTGGGTTTACTGCCCATTCCTAATGGCCCAGAGGCCACTTTAGAGTCAACCACATTGCTATGGGGTCTGAAGTCACATGTAGACCAAACTAGGTGAGGATGGAAGATTTCCTTCCCTTAAGGACATTAGTGAACCAGATTTGTTCTTCTAACAATTGACAATGATTTCATGGTTATCATCAGACCCTTAATTCCAGATTCTTCATTGAATTCAAATTCCACCAACAGCCATGGGGGGATTTAAATGCGTGTCCCCATAACATTAGCTGAGTTTCTAGATTAATAGTCTAGCGATAATACGAGGCCATTGCCTGAAAAGCAAGCGATTTCTGCTGAACCAGTATAGAACAGTGGTTAGGCCTCAGCTGGAGTGATGCATTTAGTTGTGACCACACTTCAGACAAGATAGCAAGGCTTTAAAAGAAGATGGAGAGGGTGACACCAGAGATGGGACACTTATCTAAGAGGCTACAGAATTTGAAATTGTTCTTACATAGATCTTCCCATAACTTTCTATGCTAAGACAAATGAGTTAAAAGCCATGAAGAGTTTTGATGAGTAAAGAGAAACTATTTTCAGAAGGGTCAGTCGCTAGACAAAAACTCAAGGTAGATGAAAGCAGATGACATGAAGGAAAACAAATGTATGCAGCAAGTTGTGATTTTTTCATGCATTGCATGAAAAACTGGTAGAAATAGATTCGAACATCACTTCCAAAAAAGGAATTAAAATAAACACCAAGGCAAACTTAAAGAAAGACTGAGCTAAGAACAAGAGTGAACTATTTGAATATTGCTATTAAAGAGCCTGCAAGGTAAATGAGCAGGACAGCCTTCTTCTGTGCTGCATCATTCTATGAAGTTATAAATGAAAAGTATGAAATTTGACTCAAATTTGCCCGAGTATCTCAAGGATAACTTATTCAAAAATATTTCAGAAAAACGAAGTAGACATCACAATGCTCAGAAAATAGCAATCACTGGTGGCATGTCTCTTACCTGGTTCTACCACATTCACATGTTTTTGTCACAAATGCAGGGCAAGATGGACATGGTCCAGGATGGCAAAGGCTGGAAGGAAAGATTCTGCTTTAGTGATTTGCATTTACACAAATTAAACACTAAGTTACATTCTGCTGAAAAGTAATAGTTTTGATAAATTTTGAAGCACAAAAGTTAAATATCGTTCAATTTAGTTGGAACCAAAACCCAATGCAGCCTACAAACACCCTGGATACAATGTACAAATTAATTTAAAATCCTTCCATATGGACTGAAATTTCCTGTGTTCAAGGGCTGTCTACAAATTAGATTGACCTGATCATATTGCTTATCTATGCATGTAACACAAACTGGTCACTGTTCAGATTTCTGAACTTCATTTAGCCTTCATCACAGCCAATTTTCAGTCAGTCAAGATTTTCAAAATTGGTTGTAACAGGGTATATTAGAAATAAAGCAAAAATTAAAATGAATACAGGAGAATGGCAAGAGAAGGAATAGGGGAAAGGGCAAGGCAAGAAGCTGAAAATTATTTACATGCGTATGTGTCATTAGCAAAACTTGCTCTTGAAAACAGTTCATTATTTTACTGCTATAAACAAAGGTCAATGTACAAGCCAGAAATATCAAAAAATTGATGCAAGTACATTGATATCTACAAATGTATCAGCATTCTAAGGGTTAGCCTTCTCTCTTCCCCAGTCATAATGACCAAATAGTTTGCAATGAAACAACCAGGTAACAATATTTCAAACCACATGTGTATAGCAAGAATTATCTGAACAGAAAGGAACACAAATTCTATTTACATTATTCTTCTTTGCAATGTTAGGGCCAATTACCACATGGCACTAGAAATGCTAGTTGCTTGGAGGGCTCCACTTGTTTGCTCAATCTTCTGTAGTAATCATACTTAATGTGTGTTACAAAGTAGCAGTGTTGATAAATTGAGAATGCAGTGGGAGTTTAAGTACCAAAGTAAGGACGAAGCATCATTCAATACTTTTGAAGCTCATCCAGATACAATTTTCTGTCAGATTTTCTCAAGATAGTTGTATGTTAAATCTCCTCAAATTTCTCACTCAAGTTAAGATTCAAAGATTTCAGTATAGCACAAGCAGAGGCTGATTCTGGCCTTTGAACATCATTTCTACCTGACTGAATTTTCAAAAACAAAAAGGATAACTTTACATACCAACATCATTCATAAATATACTAATTCTGTAAATATTGCTAATTTGTAGCCTTAATTATTAAATAAAATTTCTTAAAAATTGTTGTTGCAGTGGTTGGGTTGGGCTGGGCTGGAACAGCAACGGCATCAAGATTAACTGGAAACCCCAGTCAATTATTTAACTTTCACCTTGAAACGGAAAGGGGTGGAGGGGGTGGTTTAGTTGAGCAGCACGAATCTGGATTGTCAGCAATTGTGACTGATGCTACTCTTCACTTTGGCACACAACACTAACTTAGACAGCGATTACTTTTCATATCTTGTGGAGTCCCCAAAATATTTGAAGACTGAATTGGATGGATTATTGACATTTTTCGTGGAAAGTAACATTTTCACAAGTTGAACCAGTGAGTATGCTTTTGAAAATGCATTAAAATCTGTAAATTTTGGAAAACAGTGATGATCTTACTCTCAAGTACAAAAACATTTCCACAACTACCTACATTTTCAAAAAAGTGAAATACAATACAGAATCCAGAGTTGGAGTAACATCACAGAACATTGGGCAGAGTTCCCTGGAATTTAGAAGCTTAACTGGTGATCAAATTTTTCAAAATAGAGGGAAATTGATAAGCTCAATTGGAAGAAACTATTTCTACTGGTTTGGGAATGTGGGACCGAGACCATAGTCTAAAATTTTGACCAAATCTCCTAGGGGAGAACTAGGAAAGATACATCAGAAATTTGGAACTCTTCTGCAAATAACAATGGAGGTTAAATCAATTTAAATTTTTAGAACCAGACATCAATCGACTTTTTTGACAACAGAACAGTGTAAGGAATATAGGACAAAGGCAGGTATATGTAGTTAGATCGCAGGTCAACTATCAACTCAGTCAATCAGGCAAGAACGATCCACTTGCATTTCAAAGAAAGATTTTATCTAGAAACATTTTGGCATACATTAGATTCATTTTCAAACAGTCCAGCTCAAAGTTCCAACAGTGGCATAGATGGGGTGCATCTGCAATGAGCAGTTAATTAAGGTTCCAAAGTAGAAGATCCACCACAACCAAACATGATATTGGTCCAAGTTTATTTTACAAATCTAAAGGAAGGGACAGTGAAAGTTGGAACTGAGGAATAATAGCATACAAAAACAAATACCTATATGAAAAATGAGATATAATTGTATTTAGTAATATGCTCATGAAAAATTCCAAAATACTTGAAATATTAAAAAAGGCAAATCAGTAATAAAGCAACATGTAAAAGGCAGGAAGACGTATACATTCGTATGCTTTCTGTGCTTACATGTTACATGAGTGAGGACAGTCGCTGCCAGATCGTTTCTTTCCACAAAGCTCTCCACAGCTGTGAGGTATCTCATTCCTGTTCCACTCTGGATTGTTAACCTTACCTTACAAGTACACAAGATAAAAAAAAATATTACCAGGAGATGGACCTTAAGTTTGCATATACAATCTTGAGATTCTTTCAAAACACTACAACTGCATAGCACTGCGACAGAACTACTCAAGGCCTAAGATTTCTTGGTTAGGGGTTGCACTCCAACACAATTTAAAATTTGCTGAGAACATGAGTAAATCAGAAATAGCAGAATTCTAAGTAAATAAGCGAAAGAGCTGCTCAATAAATCTCCATGCCTTTGAAGGAATTATGAATAAATTAGACAGTTGAACTCTCAATGATGTTGCTAATTAGACTTTTACTAAGTCGTTGACAAGGACCCATATATGAAAAACTCATGGGATATATTTTTGTAAAAGCTGAATTAGTAAACTTGGAGAAAATAAAACAAGCTCTAGAATCTTTACAGTATGCCCGAATCCTGACAGTATAAATTGGATGATAAATCAGGATACTTTTCTAAGAGGTGCAGGAAAAATTCAGATTAATTATGCACTTAAAAGGAAGTTTTTTGCCTCCACTATTCTATCTTGAAGCTCATTCCACTCATGATCACTCTGTGTGAAGAACCTGTGATAACAATCTTAAAGTTACATTTTACTTTGAATTCTTGCAATTCAACTTCAAAAAACAGCGTAGGTTTACCTTATCCACACCTTATACATTTCACATGAGGGGCAAGCCTCAGATTCATGAATTTACTGCCTCCAGAATCTCTCTTATCATAGTGGCTAGAACTGGACGCAGCATTCAGGATGCAGAGCACTACATTACATTGGTTACAACTTGCTGACTTAATTCATTCGTGGGATGCGAGGGCCACTGGCTGGGCCAACATTTATGGTCCTAATTGTCCATAAGATGGTGAGCTGTATTCTAGAACTGCTGCAGTTCATCTGCTGTAGGCAGACCCAAAATGCCATTAGGAAGGGAATTTGAGGATTTTGACTCAACTTTGTTTCATAGCTGTGTTCAAAACAGTGTTATAAATACATCACTAAGCCCACAAGCCTGTGCAATCCTTTAATTAGATCCTGGTCAATCTGAACCTCAATTCTACTAACTACCTTTCATTCATACCCATTGATACCTTTAATGATTAGAAACTCAGACATTAGAACTTCAATTAATCCAGCATAGGTATTTAAGAAAAAATTCCAGAATTCCACAGCCCTTCAAAAGTGCCTCCTGATTTTACTCCTTTCTGCTGCTTACTCTGGATTTCCCACACTAAAATGAAATAGCTTCCTTGTATCTACCCTAATTCATCTTTATAATCCCTTTAACAGCGTCGATTAGATCACCGCAACTGTCCAAATTCAATGGAATACAAGTCATGTCTGCACAATTGCTCTTCAAAATTTAACTGTTTAAGCCCTGGTTTAAGAACTGTCAATTTATTTTTCTTGCTTTATAGCCAAAATCTTCCTAAAGCCCAAAATTGACTACAATACTCTACATAGGGTCTGACCAAGATTTTATACAATTTTATGTAAGTATAATTCCACCCCTCAAGATGAAGGCCACATTACAATCAACCTTTCTATATACATGTAGGCTAGACCTACAAGACCTGTGCACTAGGACATCCAAATCCCTTTACTCTTTCCCAATGTCATTTTGTTTGGATGTGAAGATACCTCAAACTTCCCCACTTTAAACAACCTGTCACAGTTCTGCTAGTTACTTAATCTGTCTTTGTAATTTCATGCTATTATCCACACAGGTTAAGATGCTCACATGAAACATGAATTCTAATCTAGATCTGCTCGTTTGAATGGCATTTGCTGCTTGAAGTCTATTTAACTTATTTTGCTTAACTTGGTGTTATCAGAAAACATGAAAACACTATGAATGGATTTATATTTTACTTACATTTGAGTTGACGCCTAATGCAGATACAAAAAGGAACACTGTCTGTCACTTCTTATCAAGTGAATCACATTTTTTACTTTTGGTGCCCTCTTCACAATTATGTAAACTACCTCCATTTTATGGTTGTCAATAATTTTAGGTGGAACTTTGATTGTTAAGGTTCATGCAGACAAAAATCTACTGACAACCCCAAACTGCTTCAAACAAAGTAAGTAGATTAGACAGACATGACTTGTATTTCATATTGACAATCTTTGATCAGTTCACTTTATGATAAGGGATTCAATCTAACAAGTGCATAGTTTCCTTGGTACAGAGATAGTAGAAACTGCAGATGCTGGAGAATCTGAAATAACAAGGTGTAGAGCTGGGTGAACACAGCAGGCCAAGCAGCATCAGAGGAGCAGGAAAGCGGACGTTTCGGGCCTAGAAGGGTCTCCTTTCTTCAATAATACAACGATATGCATTTTTCCAAACCAAAAGGCATGTATTCCTACCAAATTCTGAAAAGTCATGACTAGTCCAATTCTAATTTTCCTCTTTCCTTTAATTGACTGGGATATAAAGCATTGCATTCTGGAGATTTGTCTATCTCAAGATCCATTACTTTCCTCATGACCTTTTGTAGTAGAAGGTTTTAAAACATCTATTAGGTTTCTCCCCTCAGCTTGCTTTAGATTCCATTAAATGACCAGTTTTTGCTGCGCCACTTCCTCTCCTGGGTAAATTAAGACTTTTCTGTTTTCAAAGTCTACTTTTTTTTTTTGAAAGTTACTTGTTAGATTTTCAGCTGCATCTGTTTTTCCTATAGAAACAAACTAGAAACATCACTCGGGGAAACAACAGCATAGTGGGAATGTCAATGGACTAATAACCCAGAAGCCCACATTAATGCTCTGGGGGGACAACTTCAAGTCTCAGAGTTAGCTTCAAAAATGGTGACCAAACTATGGATTATTGCGAAACTTTATTTGGTTAGTTAGTGCCCTTCAAGGAAAGGAGGATGGACTGACCTACACATGACTCCAGATCTACAGGAATGTAGTGTGGGGCTCTCAAGTGTTCCTCAGTGATTGAGCAAGCCACACAGTTCAAGGGCATCGAGGTTGGTCGGCTCGCCGAGCTGGTTTCTTGTATCGCAGACATTTCGTTACCTTGCTGGGTAACATCTGCGATACAAGAAACCCAGCTCGGCGAGGCAACCAACCTCAACACCCACAACCCGAGCTACAAATCTACTCCAAAACCATAGTTCAAGGGCAATTAGGACAAGTGACAAATGCTGACCTTGCTAGAAAAGCCTACATTCCATTAAGGAATACATTTAAACAAAAGTCAGGAGTCCCAACATTGAGTTCAGGTTACATCACTAAATATTACTACTTTTCCCCTGCCTCTACCTTGAGGAAACTTCTCCAATAGCTGGCAACTTTTCAATGTCACTAAGAATTTTTATTAGCATTCAGTTCAATGGTTTTAAACATAACCACATACACCCATTTTGAACATTTATTTACTACAAATGAATGTCAATGAATCTCAGAACATAAGTAAGCTCCGTTCACTTTTGCTAAGTCATCAAGTCATTGCAATGCGTTTTTTTTTTAAACTAGACTGTAAACTGTAATCAGCAAGGACCAAAATGAAAAACATTACAGCTTCCCCTCAATCAACATCCATCTGCAGAAGTGATCTGGATGTATAATAGTTAGTTGACAAAGTAGAGAACAAATCACAGAACACAGGTATAAAAATATGGAGTGAAAGTGGCACTAGTCCGAGAATCAAAATCAGCATCAGAAGGATGCATTAGCAAGTGACCAAGAAAGGAGATTGCGGTTTTAATAGTCAGGAAAGTTTACATAAGTGCTGAGTGAAATAAAAGGAGCAACTTCTCTTCAGTCCTTTTGAACAGAATGTGATGTGGCTATCATAGAAAAGACTACAGGAAAACCCCTAACTGTTCTGAGTGTATTGCGTGGTCATGTCAGAGGGCAGTTGAGAGTCCAGATACATTACTCTGGGTCTGGAGTCACAAGTAGATCAGGTAGACTTCCTCATCTAAATGAGAATTGTGAACCAGATACATTTAAAAACAAAAAAAAGTTTAATTATCACCATTTCTAAGACTAGAGTTCAATTCCAGATTTTTAAAAAATTATTAATTGTACTGAAATTCCACCAGCTGTCGTGATGGGATTTGTACCAATGTGCTCTGAGGGCTTCGGAATTACTCACCCAGTCATGTGTGGGGGTGCAGGGTAGTGGGTGTCGCATATGTGTTGCTAAAAGCTTGGCAGTCCTTTCTTGTGAAATGAAAAACTCCTAATATAGTAGTCAGTTATCACATGTTGCAAAGCAGCAGAGTCAAATGAACCACCAAGAGGTGGCACTATTCGAGGTATATGTAAAAATCAAATCTTAAAACTGGGTACTTTATTTGTACTCCAGATCTACTTTATACATATCAGAATGAGCATAATACTAAAAGGATAAATGAATTTCAAACATTCCTCATTACATACACTCTCAAGACACTCAAATAGTGTCATTCTCCAACAGCACTGGTTTTGAATACTTGCAGGTAATTTTACAGAATTTTTCTACTTACCACAAAAGCAGATGTAAGAACTGGGGACTCTTACAGAAACATTCTGACAAGCAGGACATCTCCAACCACCATTCCCATCTAGCATGCAAAATGAAGACAAATGCTTTATTCAGCACAATATTCAGAACAGAGATTATTTCCATAAATCTTTCAATACGCTTTTTCATGTTAAGAGGATAAAAAATTTGCTATTTGATAATAGTTAAACTACTCCTCTACCAGTTTCTTACCCTTACTGATTGCATGCAATTTGTAAAAAGCTTTTTTTGTTTTTTTCTTCATTCTTTACACAGTGCCTTGCATGGCTTTACCTATAGTGGCTTGTTTAAACAGATGGAATTCTTTCAGGGTATCACTTGATCATCTTCCACAGTATCAACTAAAACACCAGAGAAATCGTGCAAATAGGTGGTTATCCTGTTGAGCTGAAGTTAGAGTCACTGTCCCAAAACACATCAAGTAGTCATTTGAGGTTGGTTTTAGAAAAAGTAATCACAACATACTTCATGTCCAAGGTTTAAACCTGGGTCTAAAGCATCACATAGCCACTATCTGGAAGTGGAGACTAATTCAATAAAATTATTTTACCATATCAAGACTTATCTTCAGGTTAGGCATTGTTCAGTGGTGCCAAATAGCTCTGATATAGGACAGAGTTAAAAACAAGAAACTGTGGTAACTTTAAAAAAGAGAGATACTGCAATGTTGTAGGCAATTTTACCCTGCATATTGATTGAACAAATTAAATTGGCAAAAGAACCCTGGAAGATAAATTCCTAAGTATTTGGTATAGTTGCTTGGAATAAATATATACCCTGAATTAAGCAAGGAACAGATTTACTAATGGATAAATTAATGATCCCATTGTAAAGGATTCTCCAAGAAGGAATATGAAATTCATCATGTTATGAAAATTCAGTGAGGGGAGAAACCTGCATAGTAATGTCTTAATCTTAAATAAGGCAATTATAGAAGTGCAATTAAAAAGTGGTGGTTACAGGAAACCTGAAAATAGATAAGACAGTTGATGAACAGCAGCAGACATGTAAGGAAATAGTGCATAATTCTCCACTATGATACATTCCATTGAAAAAACACTTCATATGAAGATATATCATTTGTGTCCAACTAAGGAAGTTAAAGATAGTACCAAACTGAAAGAAAAGGTATCTGATGCTGCACAGACTAATGTCAGGCCAGAATCTGGGATCATTTTAGAAGCCAGCAAAGCAATAACCAACCAAGTGAGAGAAACTAGACAATGAAAACAAAGTAGCAAAAAATATTAAAATGGATTGTAAGAATTTCTGTAAATATACAAAAAGGAAGAGGAGACGATTTCTAGCAAACAGAGGTAGTCAGAACTGCAGATGCTGGAGTCAGGGATAAGTGTGGAGCTGGAGAAACACGGCAGGCCAGGCAGCAGAGGAGCAGGAAAGTTGATGTTTCGGTCAGGACCTTTCTTCAGAATAATATAATATATTCTTCATTTTCTGAAGAAGGGTCCCAACCTGAAATGTCAACTTTCTTGCTCCTCTGATGTTGCCCGGCCTGCTGCGTTCCTCCAGCTCCACACTTATTTCTAGCAAACGTTAATCTCTTAAAAGGATGATCTGAGAAATAAGGGGAAAACAAGAAAAATTCAGACTTTTTAAAACAAGCATTATCTATTTCTTCATAATAGAAGATCAAAACAATTCCAAGAAAATGAGAAAAATCAAGGAGCAAAAGGTGATGAAACCTAAAGTAATCTCAGTTATCAGTGCAAAATGTTTCTAGAGAAGGCTAGAAGCTTGACAAGTCTCAGGGACCTGACGGCTTGCAATTTAGGATTGTAAAGGAAGTGGCTGCAGAGATATTGGATAATTTAGTCAATCTTCCAAAATTCCCTCAATTCTGGAAAAGGCTAAGCAGATTAGGAAAAAATGTAGCATTTTTATTCAAGAAACGATGCAGACAGAAAACTGGAAACTATAGGCCAATTATCCTAACATCCATAATTGGGAAATTGTAGAGATTCAATTAAGGAAGCAGCAGCAACACATTTAGAAAGTTAGAACAAAATCACGTTGGCTCAGCTCGATTGTATAAAAAGAAAGTTTTTTTTGATAAACTGGAATTCTGAGGGATGCAACAATCAGGGTGATTAAACGAAACTATTACATGTAACATATTTGGATTTCAAAAATATACTCAAAGAAGTCTCCCATAGTTACCACACAAAATAAGAGCTCAAGGTGTTGGGGCAGTAAAGGCTTAATCAGGGAAGAGAGAATGAGGATGTAGCGTTTATTTTCAGGTTAGCAAACCGTACCTAGCAAAGGTTATTGGTATCATTGCGAGTGGCTCAACTATTTACAATTTGTGACTGACTTGGATGAAGAAACCAAACATACTGTAGCCCAATTTGTTGATAATACAAAGATATGCAAGTTATGAAGAGGATGCAAATCATCTGCAAAGGGATATAGCTAGGTTAAATTAGTGTACAATGAGAAAATTTGAGGCTTTCCACTTGGGTAAGATTAAAAAAAACTAGAATATTATTGGCTGTGTTGCAAGGTTGAGCCTGGAGAAGAACAAGTGATCTCACAGATACACACCTGGATTCTGAGGCAGTTTGATAGGGTAAACAAGAGGATGCTTCTCTTTATTGGGGAATCTAATACTAGGGGGCACTGTGGGATTTATATTTTGTTACAGATACACATATTTAACACCATTACTCTGGTTTTTGAGTTAGTAACTTGTGAGTTTTGTGCACCTGCAGTCAATAAATAACTAAGCATTTCTGTACCTATAGCGATTTAAGGTAAAACAGTTTTTGAGGCCTGGTTTTCTAGTGAATGTGTCTGTCTTCACCACCAATGGATCACGTGTTTGTCTTAGATTGTTTTGTGACACAGCATGGTAACTAATGGGTCTCAAGGTTTGTTAGAGACTTGCGGAACTTTTTTTTGGAAAAGAACTAAAGGGAAACACTCAGCTTCAAGAAGAACAGCATTAGTTTCAGTTTTACTTTGCGTTTTGGCTAGTCCTTTGAAGTCCTTGAAGAGAAAAGCCAAGTACAACTATGATCAGTAATATGATAGGTCCAGGATAAAGCTACCTGCATTTCCAGTCTGAACACTGAAGCCCTAAGCGGCTTGCACCTACCAAGATGTTAGATGAAGGGTGTCTAGTGTGAGTACTGTATGAGTGATATTTTGGGTACTGTACCAGGGATGTACTTTAGGTGCTAGACAAAAGCAGTGATTTTTCTAATTTATGAAGGAGTGCTTTGGCATTATACTACTGTGTTTTATAATACAAATTCTTAGATCTTTTAAGTAGATGGTTTGGTTATTCTATTTTATCTTCATTATTGTTCATAAACTTGTGTTTTGTCATTGAAACAGAAACTGCAGTATTGCATGCTTACATTTCAGTAAAAAGCCACTTTGTTAAAACCAAAATCGAGGTATGATCTATTAAGCCAGGTTTCTGTCTGGGATCGGACTCATCTGGTAATAACATCAACTGGGATCAAAAAAAAAGGATCCTCTACTTAAGATAGAAATGAGAAATTTCTTCACTCAGATGATCATTTATCGTTGGAATTCTCATTGCCTTTCTTATTGTAAGTTTAGCTTAATGACAATATAAAGAACCAAGATCCTTTAAATTCCAAAGTGAAACAAGGAAACTTTCTGGAAAGACAGTTAGTTGGACTTCTGACTGTGACGCTATCCAAGTTGTTAAAATCTGGCTGAGGTTGCTATGGGGACTAAATGTGTTTGTGTGGGGAGTGACATGGATGTTCACTGTATGAAAGATACATTTATTGTCTTGATTATTCAGACTAAAATTAACCCCCATTATCTGACACTTTCTTCTAGCCAATTCTCCTCCACCTTGTGGCCTCTACTGCTTCCTAAACCAATTTCTTGCTTCTATCCTACATCTTGTGACCTCTCCTGCTCTTTCAACTTTCTTGTTATTGACAACGCTCCAGTTTTAAGGTCTCATTCCCTGAACTACTCGACTGCTGCTGACCCTGCCTACTCCCTAATTCAACCTTACACCATTCTTCCAACTAGCGGCTTCTCCATTTCGAGTCGCCAAATCCCCATCTTGCCGAGCCTGCTTCTCCCTGACTCGGCCACTCACAACTGCTCTCTTCTGAGCTCTCAAGACTCGGAAATGAGCAGTGAGACGCAGAAGCAGCAGCTTTGTTGTGCAAAACTGAATCAAGTTAGAAAGGAGAGGTTCTGCCTAGGGTGGATCAGGGAGCAGAACAAACCGCAAGTCAGAGGGTCAGAAGTGAGAGAAGCCACAAGTTAGTGGATCAGCAAGACAGTTGGTCAGGGAGTAGCAGAGGTCATGATCCCAATCATCAGCAAGAGGAAGAGGAACCGGAACCAGGAGGGACAGACTGCAGAATGAGAGACGAGCAGGATCAACAACAAGCAAGAGGAAAGTAGTAAGTTATCATGCTGTATTTCTTCCACATTTTTAAATTAATTGAATAGATATTTCATTTATTATAAGAATTCAGCAAAGTATTTCAGCAATGTTTTTATATTGATAAGGAGTGTTCTGCTGAATCTAAACTTGCATTGTCTTTAATGGGACAATGTGATTTCCCTAAAGTCTTAAAATTTACTTAAAAGCTGCAATTTTCAAGAATACAGCAACAAGTTTAAGTGCAGAGTTATACTAGTCATGATCCAAGAATACTTAGCATGGCTTAATCTTTGGGGCAAAGGATTGCACATCAGTCTCATTCAAAAATCTTTAGAGAACATATTTAAATTGAATATGGACATCCACAGTGCCAACTACAGGTGCAACTTGTACGACAGGCAGACGTGCACACGAGACGTGTTTTGCCATTTACAAAAGCCACAGCCAGGTTTCTCACACTTCTTCCAACACACGACATTAGTTCTCATACAGACCATACTGTAAATTAACCCTGAGGTGGAAAATGATGAACTCTACGCAACATATTCTAGAAATAGAAATAGAGAGCAAAACTCAAATGCTGTAAACAATTAAAGAAACAAAAACACTGGAAATACTCAGCCATTCGGATATTCTGTGCAATGAGAAACAGAGTTAATGTTTCAAGTCAGTGGTCTGTTGTAAAACTCACCTTCAGCTTGAGAAGCTGGTGATCTTGCCCATTTCTTAATGCAATTCAAGTGGAACACATGATAACAGCTTTGACAGCTCCAGACAGGTACCATCACACGAATCACCTCACAGCAAACCATACACTCATATTTCTCAGATGTGAGCTGTTCGATCAGAGATCCTAACAAACAAAAAAGGGATAGCTAGTTAGACCAAACAATGTGTCAGGTTGCTGAAACAAAGAATGGTGAGTATTATACGAACACAGCCATACGAAGCCATTCAGCCCATGGAGTCTGCTCCACTGTTCAATCATGGCTGATAAGCTTCTCAACCCCATACTCCGGCTTTCTCCCCCAACCTTTGAACCCCACCCCCCCCACCCCCGACAATCAAGAACCTATCTTTGCCTTAATTATACTCAATGACTGGTCCCCACAGCCTTCTGTGGTGATGAATTCCATTGATTCATTACTCTCTGGCTGAAGTTTCTCCTCATCTCCGTTCTAAAGGGTCTTCCTTTTACAAAGGCTGTGACTTCGGGTCCTCGTCTCCTGCTAATGGAAACATCCTCCCAACGTCCGCTGCGTCTAGTATTCTAAGTTTTAATTAGATCCCCCTTATCTTTCTAAACTCCATCAAATATACTCAGTCCTCAAACGTTCCTCTAATGTTAAAACTTTCATTCCTGGGATCAAAGAATTCTAACAGATTTGTCAGGCATGACCTCATCCTATTTTACCATACATGTCCAAGTATTCAGAAATCTCATCCTTCACAATGGACTCCATACTCTTACCAGGGGCCAAGGTCAAGCTAGTTGGTCTGTAATTCCCCATCTTTTGCCTTACTCCTTCTTAGCGATTTTCCACTATGCTGGGACTCTTCCTGATTCCAGTGATTCCTGAAGGATCACCGTTAACACCTCCACTATCTCTTTAGCTATCTCCTTAAGGACTCTGGGGTGTAATCCATCTGGTCTTAGTGATTTATCCACCATCAGGCCATTCAGTTTCTCCTCACACCTTCTCCTTGGTAATGGCCACCATACTCAGCTCTGCCCCCAGCTCTCAAATTTTTTGGATATTACTCGTGTCTTCCACAATGAAGACTGACGCAAAGTAATTACTCAATTCCTCAGCCATTTCCTTGCTCCCCACCAGTATCTTTCCAGCATAATTTTCCTGTGGCCCAATGTCCACTTTTGCCTCTTTCACTCTTTATATATCTAAAGAAACTCTTGCAATCTTCTTTTATATTACTGGCTAGCTTACCCTCATATTTAATCTTCTCCTTCCTTTAAGTTATCCTCTGATGGTCTTTATAGGCTGCACAATGCCCTTCACTGCATCATATACTTTCTCTTTTGCTCTGACTTCCCTTGTCAGCCATGGTTGCCTTGTCCTCCCTCCAACTATGCTTCTTTTTCTTAGGCAAATATTTTTGCTGTCACCTGAATTACTCCCAGAAACTCCTGCCATTGCTGTTCCACTGTCTTCCCTATTAGGCTTCTCTCCCAGTCAATTCTGGTCAGCTCCTCCCTCATTCTTCTGTAGTTACTTTTATTGAATTGTAATATCGTTACGTCTGATTCCAGCTTCTCCCCCTCAAATTGCCGAGTAAATTCTATCATAAGGGATCGGATAAGAAAACAGAGCTCAGCTTTTACTGGATTGAAAAATGAGAGTATTTTAGAAAATTACAGTGCAACACAGTATCTGCTAAACAACAGAAAAGGGTATGACTGATAGAAGAGTGCTGCCATTGACGCCTTCTCATCTTACGAAAGGAATACATTTTAATGCAATTCCAAAACATCCGAGAGATTCTTCTAATTCAGCACATTTAATTGCTTCTAGGATTATAAATTACTAATCTCTAATCCATTGCTTTAACATTTTTATGTGGAGAGTTTCTCTACAAGTATAAAATTTGGCAAGGCATGGCAGTAGTGGAGCAAGCCAGGGCTGTGAATTCAGAGGCAAGCATGCAAGTTGAAAAATTTATTTCTACTGAATATGGTGAATTGTGGCTGACACCAGATAAAGTAACTATAGAAGTTGCAGGTGGTTTTAAAATTCATCTGGTTTACTAATTTCTTTTAGAAAAGGATACTTACCAGTTTTACAGTATGGTGTGTGTCTATATGACTAGTTATACATGGTTGACTCTTAAGCACATGTTCAGCAGGCTTTTGGGAACAAGCTGGATGATGGAAAGGCTGACAAAATGGTGCAGGAAGGTACTTGGCGGAGATGCACCTTACATTTCCACCGCTGTACCTTTTACAAGCTATAGACTGGTGTCGAATTGGCCATCTACTTGGTCACAGAATTGGGTCAAAATGGGCAGCAAATAAATAGCACTTTCATTTATGCAACTAAATACTTGCAGAGATGGGAAGACCATTCAGTGAAAACAGAAGCTTCCGACTGAGCACATCCTTGACAGAAACGTTAAATCAGAATGTTGCCTCAGTTTTCCTGGTGGACAACACTGTAACCATCCCAATATGCAATAGGTAATGTAGAGGTTATTTTCAAAAAAGGAGGAACTTAAAACAATCACCATCACTAGGGAGAAGATATTGGGCAAACTATTAAGATTAAGGCAGACAAATCCTAAGTCCTGATGACCTCCAGCCGAGGGTCTGAGAGGAAATGGCAGCAGAGGTGTTGGATGTATTGGTCATATATTCCAAAATTCTGTGTTCTGGAAAGGTTCCAGTGGATCGGAAAAAAATGCTAACAAAATGCCTAAAAAAAGGAGGGAGGCACAAAGTAGGAAAATACAAACCAGTTTGTTTCACTGGCGCAGTTGGGAGATTGTTGGAATCAATTATGAAGGAAGTAATAACAGGAAATTTGGAAAGTCAAACCATTGTCATCATGGCTGCAGGAAGGGTAAAACATGTTTGACTAATTTGCTGGAGTTCTTTGAAGGTGTAACAAACAAAGTGGATAACGGAAGTCCTCTAAATGTAGAGGAGAAAACTAAGTGTAACTGGCACCTTATAAACTGCACTCAATAAACCAGCAGAAATTATATACCTGAAATACCAGAATTTTACTGTACTATCGCAATCTTTGCGATGTGAGAGTAGTCAGTTTGATTTGATTTATTATTGTCACGTGGACCAAGGTACATTGAAAACTGCTATTCTACATGCTTTACAGGCAGATGGTACAGTACAAGCACATCAGGGTAACAGAACAAAACTCAGGATACAATGTTACAGCTGCCAAGAAGGTGCAGAGAAAGATCATATCAACATTAGAGGTTCTTCAGATGTCTGGTAACAGCAGGGAAGAAGCTGTTAAGGGTGTGAGCGAGGAGGCTCTCTGCTGGTAAGTTTTATTTAAGGCAAAGTTGCATTATTCTTCAACTGATTGAAGCTGTAAGTAAAGTTTAACAATGATATGTATACCCACTGCATTACATTTTGATTAGTGTGTCTTTTTACATTGATTGTGGACCTCAAATCAACTAGCACACCCCCTGGGCCCACAGGTGCTGGTTAACAACAAGTTTGTTGTATATCTCGACTTCCAGAAAGCATTTCATAAGGTGTCATATAAAAACTTACTACACAAGATCATAGGGTCAGAGATCAGGTATTAGCTTGGATAGAGGATTGGTTAACCAACTGAAAACAGAATTGGAACAAATGGGTCTTTTCCTGGTTAATAAGCTGTAACTAGTAGGGTACCACAGGGCTCAGCCCTGTTTAGTGACTTGATGCAGGAATAGTATTATAGCCAAACTTGCAGATGACACTAAAATAGATGGGAATCTAAGATGCAATGAAATCAGAAAATTACAAATGGATGTGCATAGGCTAGACGAATGGACCAAAAGTTGGCAGATAGAGTTTAACATGCATAATTCAGAGGTTATCGATTTTGGTTGGAAAAATAGTAAATGGAAAGAAACTTCAAACTGCTTTGGTGCAGAGGAATCTGGGTGTCCTTGTGCATGAATCACAAAGCTAGTATGCAGGTACCGCAACTAAGGGCAAATAGAATTTCCACATCTATGGCTAAATGAGTGAAGTGTAAAAGTAGGGAGGGGTTATTGAAACTGTACAAGGCTTTGAGGCTGCATCAGGAGAACCGCGCATAGATTTGGCCAATTGAGAAAGAATGTAATTGCACTGGAACCAGTTCTGATAAGTTATTCTAGGTTAATTCCTGAGGTGTAAAATTTACCTTGAGAGATTGAGCAGTTTGGTTCTATATTTATAGGAGTTTGGAACAATGAGGGGAGATTAATGAAGTATGTCATTTTTTTTAAGCATCATACAATGTAGACATAGAACAATATTTCTCCCTGTAGGGCAATCTTGGATGACAGGTCATAGTTTCAGCTAAAAAGTGGTATATAAAACAGATGAGAAGGAATTACTTCACTCACAGGGTCATGAATCTGTCGAATTCACAACTCCAGTGCGGTGGATGCCAGGGCACTGATTACATTTAAGGAGATAAATCAACAGATTTTGATAAGTAATGGATTGAAGGGTTATGGGGAAAGGTAGGAAAGTCAGGTTCATAGAGTCAGACTCACAGCATGGCAACAGACCCTTCTGTCCAAATCGTCCACACCAAAACGGACATCCCAATCTGACCTAGTCCCATTTGCCAGCGTCCTTCCTGTTCATGTTTCCATCTACAGGCCATTAAATGTTGCAACTGCACCAGCCTCCACCACCACCACCTCTGGCAGCTCATTCCATACACGCATCACGCTTTGCGTGAAAAAGTTGCCCCTAAGGTCCCTTTTAAATCTTTCTCTCTCACCTTAAATCTATAGCTTCTAGTTTTGGATTCCCCTACCCTGGGGAAAAAAGACCTTAGTTATTCACCCTATCCACACCCCTCATGATTTTACAAATCTCTACAAGGTCATCCCTCAGCCTCCAATGTTCCAAGGAAAAAAGCCCCAGCCTATTCAGCCTCTCACTATAGCTCAAATCTTCCAATCCCAACAACATATTTGCAAATCTTTTCTGAACCCTTTCAAGTTTCACAACATCGTTCCTATAGCAGCGGGACCAGAACTGAACACAGTATTCCAAAAAGTGGCCTAACCAACGTCCTGTACGGCCGCAACATGACATCCCAATTTCTATACGCTATGCACTAGCTAATGAAGGCAAGCATATCAAATGCCACCTTCACCAATCTGTTTACCCGTGACAATATTTTCAAAGAACTATGCACCTGCATACCCAGGCAACACTCCCTAGGGCCATACCATTAAATGTAAAAGTCCTGCCTTGATTTGCCTTACCAAAATGCAACACCTTACATTTATCTAAATTAAATTCCATTTGCCACTCCTTGGCCCATTGGTCAATCAAATCAACATCTCATTGTACTCAGACAACCTTCTACATTAACCACTACACTAGACTTACTAACCATACCTCCTATATGCACATTCAAATCATTTATTTAAATGACAAAAAAAAAAGTGGACCCAGCTCCAATCTTTGTGGCAAACTACCAGTCAGACCTCTAGTCCGAAAAACAACCCTCCACCACCACCTGGTCTCCCACCTTCAAGCCAATTTTGTATTCAATTGGCTAGCTTGCTCTGGATTCTGTGTGATCTAACCTTAATATCACGTCTACCACGTGGAACCTTGGCGAACAACTTGCTGAAGTCCATGTAGACAGTGTCTACCATTCTGCCTTCATCAATCCTTCAAGTTAGCAAGACACGATTTTCCACGTGTAAAGCCATGTTGACTCTCCCTAAATCAGGCCTTGCCTTTCCAAATGCATGCCAGTAGTGCCCTCAGAATCCCTTCCAACAATGCTGATGGCAGGCTCAGCGGTCTTTAGTTTCCTGGCTTTTCCTTACACTTTTCTTAAGTAATGGCACCACATTAGCCAACCTCCAGTCTTCCTGCACCTCACCTGTGGTTATTGACGATACAAATATTTGAGCAAGGGGCCCAGGGATTTATCCACCTTAATGTGCTTTAAGACATCCAGCACCACCTCTTCTGTAATATGGAAACTTGATCATATCACTATTTATTTCCCTAAGTTCTCTTGCTTCTATGTACTCTTGTACAGTAAATATTGATGAGAAACACTCAGTATCTTACCCATTTCCTGTGCTTCCACACAGGCAACCTTGATCTTTAAGGGACCCTATTCTCTCCCTAGTTACTTTTTTTCCCTTAACACATTGTAGAATCTCATTGGATTCTCCTTAACCCTATTTGCCAACGCTATCTCATGTCCGCTTTTTGCCGTCCTGATTTCCCTCTTAAGTATACTCCTCATACCCTTATACTGCTCTAGGGATTCACTTGATCCCTGCTGTCTAAACCTGACATATGCCTCCTCCTTCTTGACCAGAACCTTAATAAAACTGGCCTTCCTCCAATTTAGAACTTGAACTTTTAGATCAGGTCAATCCTTTTCCATAACTATTTTAAATCTAATAGAATTGTGATCACTGGCCCCAAAGTGCTCTCCCACTAACTGTTCAGTCAATGCCCCTCCGTCTTTCCCAACAGAAGGTCAAGTTTTGCTACTTCTGTGCTAGATACGTCCACATACAGAATAAGAATTTTTAAAAAAAAAAAAATTGCCTTTGGCTTTAATTTAGATTTTAAACAGTGAAATGAAATATGACTGTTGTAAGATTGAAAATAAAATAAAAGAAGGAAAGAAGTAGTCAGGTAGGTTTGAAACAGCAACGGGCAAAAGGAATGACAAAAAGCAGAAAGGATAACTTTCTGGGCAGATAAAGAAAATCAGTTGATCTTAGGCTAATGCCATTCACTTGTACTACCAGAAGAAGCGACTGGCCCTTATGAATTGGCCTCTACAGTCTCAAAAGATGATATTCAAAACAGAAGTGACATACACCTTGGGCACATTCAATCATCTCCCAAGGTGGATGTGTCAAAAATTAAAATTAAACATTTTTTAAAAAACAAACTTCTTAAAACATGTGAACTTTTGACATGGAGAAATCCGACATCACACAAATACACAATTAGATTTACAGGGTCACTGAGGGGGTTCAAAAGAAATATAAAACTTAGCATGCCACTGAAAACAGTTACTCTTCATTCAACAAGGCACAGCTCTGTCCCCCCAAAGGTTTTACACACACTATGCTTAAGTAGAGGTTCTCATCAATTCTTGATTACAAAGAAAATGGTCACCTGTGGCAATCTTTACACTGCACCCATCTGAGGAATTTAGACTCACCGACAGCCACTTTTGAAGGTTCTAATTAATGTGCATGTCTGGACTCTTGAAGTTGCCATTGGTCGTAGCGATGACAAAGTTTAGATGGTCAAATCAAAGTGCTGTGACTCCAAGCTTTAAGCAGAGCCTTCCCCACATACTTTCTTCTTGCAACAACTTATCAACTGGGCACATGGTCTGATTAGTTGAACAATGGCAACACATGGCCAAGCACAGAGTGTACAGAGAAAGTCATGAGGCATACACTTGGAACCACGCACAAACCACCTACTTCAAGATCCTATATGAGTGAAGCCATACAAAATAATTTCAAAGTACCTTACACTTAGAAGCATTGGTCTCACACTACAAAACAAAGAGGGATTGCTGTTTTCAAGTATTGTCAAATTCCTTTTTGTAAGTCACTACCAAATCTGCTTGCATCTCCCCTTTCAGGCATTGCATTTCAGATCAGAACAATAGAATTAAAAAGGTGTCACCTCTAGTTATTTTGCCACTTGCTTTATATCAGAGTTCTTGATTACCAGACCTCCTCCTGAAAACAGTTTATTCCAATTTACTATATCAAAATGCACTGTAACTTGAAAGACTTTTCCAATCACCCTCAACATTTTGCCTTCTAAAGAGAATGCTGTCGGCTTCTCCAGACTCAAGTCCCTCACTATTCCAGTAAATGTCTTCTGAGTTGTCACTTAAGCATGTCACATCCTATCTACAGTGTAGTGCCCAGCACTGAGTATAATTCCAGTTTAGGTGTAGCTAGTGTTTTAAGGATTGAGCATAACTTCCTTGCTGTTGTATTCCATTCCCCCAACCTTCAAAGATTTATGTACAAGCACCCAATCAGTTCTCAGCTCCAACATATTTAGACATTTGTAATTTAACTTTAATTATTACTTTTCATACTTCCTACCAAAATTAACCACATCTGTGTCTAATCATTTCAGCAAATTTTTGCATGTTAATTACAATCAATGATCAGTAAAATACTCAACTATGACTATAAATGGCTCAGAACCTCTCAATCCTGGTGGCGAAAGCTCCATCAGTCCGCTGACATTGACAAAATAATTTAGCAAATTGTGAAGGTTTGTTTTGTCAAATTTTAAAATTTCACTGTTTCTCAAGTCGATTTTGATAAAAATGGAAACGAAGATGCACATTGCTCGAATGAAACAACTTTTGATTTGACAACCTGCATTATTCTCATTTCTCCACGACACTGGAAGCAATTCCAAAAGGTGAATGTTTGCAGTGTATAATTCTATTTGGAATGGGGAGAGGTGGTGAGACAAGATGAAAGAAGAGATTTAAACCATCCCAAAACACTTCAACTGTGAAATTCAAGAACTTGCCCACAATACAAAACTCGTTTATTCAATAATTTGTAAAAATGTATTTAAGAAATTTTAATCAGTGAATTAGTTGGGGAAGCTAACCTGTGTGAGTCTCCTTGCTCTTGTGAACTTCCATCTGTTTTTTCCAAAACGTCTTCCTTCCCGAATCAAAGGATTTCTTTTGCAGATCAAAGGATTTTTTTTGTAGATCTTCTGGTCGTTTTCTTCTTCTTTCTACGTCACTCATTTTCCATGTTTGTGTTCGGTGGGTCAAACGATCCTGTAATTTAGGATTCACACTCTCCTCATTGAAGTTAGTCTTGGTATCCACTGCTGAAGCAGTCATGGCGAAACTGGAGCCTGTCCTAACATTGTCTGCAGTCGAACCTCTGTATGCTTCATGGTCAGAGTATGCTTTGCCCCAGGTGAATTCTCTCTGGCTATTTCTATTTTTAAGAAACTTTCTCTCTGACTGATCATTGCATCTTTCATAATTTTTATCCATTACAGAAGGTTCACAAGTGTGTTCTATTTGGTTAGCTTCTGGAGGGCTCATGTTTTCAATCATTACATTAGTCTTTTTTCCAAATGTTCTACCATCTTTCTCAAAGGTAAATTTTCCTTGGTTAACCATTCCTCGATTGTGTTTATACACGTGCAGATTAACTTTCTTTGGTTTGGCTCCAGCCCGACTTGCTGGTGCTCTCCAATTTTCTTGGTCTGAATTATGAATCTTTCTGTGCTCCACCCATTCTGCCCCTGCCTCCACTGGGTCTTTCTGTGCGATATCCTCCACTGAATTTTTTTCGAATAACCTTGATTGAAATAAATTTCCAACGGTTTCCTGCTGTGAATCATTAGCAAGTGGTGTTTCTCCAGAACAAGACTTTTCTTCTCTTACACGGTGTCGTCGTTGATTTTGAAAACTATGCATACCTGCTTTATTCTGGTTAGTCCTGTGCCCCTCACTGCCTGCCCTGGGATCAGAGGCAGGGTCTTCATTATAATGATTCCTTGACTGCTGAGAATACTCTCTTTTGTGTGTCAAACCAGAGCGATAGCTACGAAATGGCCGCTGCCTGGATGATGATAGATTGGTGTTATTGTTCCTGCCAAAATCCTCTGGTTTATTTTTTCTCTCTGTTTCCTGCATTTCTCGAGGAATGAAATCTGCAGCATCTGGATTAAGCTCCAGTCCACCTGTTAAACAGAAATGCATAACAATTAAGAGGTTCATATGAACTGCTGAAAAATTATTTGTCCGAGTTTCCTCTTAACAAATTCTGAACTGTATGACTATTAATAATGCTGAGAATAATCGAAAAGATCCCACATTCAGAAGCTTTCAGAATAGAAGCAGACAAGACTTTCAGCCATCATCTGAATATAAAACAGGATTTATTTGCATACTAGTAGGCAATAAGATTAAAGAAACAGGAGACAAAATTTGCTAGAAGGCAGAAAGCAGAGTACTGAATAGTCATTTCCCAGAATGGGGCAAAGTAGACAGTAGTCACTATTTGAAGCACTGCTTTTTTTGATAGATAAAGTGTGGTGTATGTGGATCCAGTATTAAGCTGTAGTTATAGACAAGTAACATGAACACATGCAAGATAATTCCTACCTGAAAACTCAGGTTAACAAGATAACAATCTTTATTTTCTCCAATTTTCCTGTTTTTATGCAATATGACTGAGCAGGTGTCACCTACTGTAATATCTGACCAAAACGCTAACCATCAAAATATTGATCATTAATTACCTTTATAACCAGAATACCATACAACTTCAAGGAACGGCTCTTGTGGTACTGTGATAGTGTCTCAACCTCTGAGCCAAGAGACCTAGGTTCAAGTCCCATCTGCTCTAGGTGCATAACACGAGCTAATTGATTACAAAGTACTGACAACTTCCAAGAATTTTCTCACTTCATGCATACTGTAGGTTAACTGACAGATTCACTGTGGTCATTGGTTAATAAATTGATTATCATGCGACTTTTGGAATACATAGAAAGAGGAGCTTTTCAAAGAACAAATTCAGTTTAAGAGAGCGTTAACTGCATCCAAAGGAACCAAAAGGGCATCTTTTGATGTGAACGATAAGATTGCACACAAAGATGCTTTAAATGACTGCAAAAACGATTTTGCCTGCTGCAATCAAAATGGGTAACTTAATGTTAGGAGAGGCAGAGGCAACGGCAAACAAACTTACAGCTGTGCCCTTCTCAAACAACACATGAAGTGAGGGATTGAGGCAATTGCAAGCGATCAGGAATCTGTGCTGGTGGAATATCTGCGATCCATACACTGTTTAGTGTCTCAAATTAAGGCGAGCGGAGGGGTATGATGCACACAGATCAGCTTTTGTACATTATACATGAACAAATTATATTCTTGAAGCCACTGTTCTGTCTTTGAACGTTGGCTATGAAATGGAATATTCAGTGAATTATGGGACAAAACTACTCAATGAGATTGCATGGTTGGACATTGTGCTAATGATTTTCTAGCTATGACAGGCCATAAGTGAGATGTGCATACCCTAGTGAAAACAGTTGCTATCAGCTATTTGGATTTGCTGCATGATTTACAGGAACAATGCAACAAAAGAACTGAACAAACTATTCAAAGCACTGCAGCAGGTCACATCAATTGCAAACTTCATCTAGCACTCACTTCACGAGTGTCTATTTGTACACCTGTGTGAAGCCATGGGATCTGAATATTGTATGCTGTTACCTGTTGTCAAGATAAAGGGAACTTCAAAAGGTTTTTGGACTTGGGGAAATTAAATGAATTAAATGCAATTTTGTAAATGAACACAAAAATTCTTCAATGGCTGATCATAGTGCTCATGAAGCAAACTGCATTTTGAAAGAATAATCTGATGAGGGTGAACTATGACTCGCTCCCCCAATTTTCCAAGTTTCTTCCTGACAACGAAATCAAACAATGTCTCATTTCTGTAACAAGCAATTATCCCAGGCACCTGAAGATGCACTTCATCTCATCCAAATGGAGGAAAATTATGTAAAGTTTGACTTTCTCCAAAATCTTTTTGAAAGTTAAATGAAGAACTGGATTTGCGCACATCTGAAACTGAACTGTTTACTGAAATTTCATGAAAACAATTTTTAAAAAAGAAAAAAAATTTCCAGAAGTTCTGACAAGATTCTAACTCACTCTACAACTACACTGGCATTGCACTGATCACATCGAAGGTGATGGTTTCTTTTGTAAACAGCATTTGTGTGAAATGCACTTGTCTACATCAGATTGGATATCGATCGACCCTGAATGTCACTGCACAACTAAACCCCAAAAGTATCAAAAACTGCTAGATTCTGATAGACTGAGTCACAACGTGCCACCCATCTGTCACATTAGGTTCAATAAAACAACCGTTTCACAAAATAATTTAGTGCCAAGCTCAAATCTTCATACATATATTTATCTTATGTTTATCTTTTAAAAAAAAAGTTAAACTTCAACAGTAAAATACCAAATGTTATTACACGTAGTTCTCATTTTGTTGAGGTCAAGGGGCATGGTAACTTGTGTCAAAATGGGCTCACAATATAATTTGTGAAGCACTGATCTAAGATATCCACCAGCATCCAACTTAACATTCAGTAAATCCACCACATGTAATGGATGATCGTAGCTCCAATAACACAAAACGACTGATCAAGTGGCCAACTTGATCAGTACCTTGATCACCAACTTAAACATTACGTGGCCCACTAGCTGCTCAGTGGAAGCAGTGAGGACTGGCTGCAGGATGCAGAGAAAATAACTGAAGCTGCTTCAACAGCACCTTCCAAACTAGCAACCAGTCAGGAGGACAAAGGCAGACAGAAACACATTTTCTGCAAATTCTCTTTCAAGTCACATGCCATCCTGACTTGGAACTGTATCCCCCAGATTTTTTGGATTAAATCTACTAATTTCTACACAATTTTTATTCTCCTTTTTGGTGAAGCGTACAGACACATTTCAGGACATTCAATATTCACCATAAATGCAAGTAAGTGACAGTTACAACAAATTATATTAACAGAATAAAACTTGACAAGTTTGTGCTTGTAACCTGAACCCAAAAACTGTAATACTGCATTCACATTCAGAATTTAGTAAATAGACAACATACTTTATTTTGCTTGCATCCATGACACTCCCTTGCCATTTGAAGATCGATTCATGTGAACTCCCATGGATCGGAAGGGATTAACTAAACTTTGGAAGTAACAATTGCATACACCGTGCAAGGGGCATCATATTTATAAACACATTTGATCGAACAAATAGCCCACGCCTCCATCACTCACACCAATGTGGGAAATCCTCAATTCGACATTTACCCAGTGACGCTATTTGGTTCAACTGGTTTAAAAGAAACAAAGAATTTACAGCAAAATAAATTAAGACGGCTCAATCTAAATAGTCCACAGTGATATTTATAGTCTCCGAGCCTTCTCCCACTTTATCAGTACATCCTTCTATTCCTTTCTTGTTTACTCACACTGAGGGTTGAGATTTATGAATACCTTATTGGAATTATTAACAATTATTAACAATAATTAAGGAAATAAGTTATTAACCGTCGTTTTGGGCTCCAGTTATTTAAGGCTTATGTATCAAATTCGATCTTATTAAAGACTTAGTTAGGTCGCCTCGCACATAAGCTCAGAAGATTTTAACGACCGGAACCAAAAAGTTCCTTTACACGACAGCATCACCACCACAGCCACACTAGAAACGGTGCCGAATGAGGCCTAGCCAGAGGCGGCGAACCCCTGATCACACCGCCAGGCCTCACCCTCTCTGTCCCGCCACAGTAAAGTACCTGGGGGCTCCCCGGCCCTTGGGGCTGCCATCGTGTTCCCGCGGCGCTCATTCACAATGCCCAGTAAACAGTCAAGGTCAAAGGCCTCCTCTCCATCCGACCGAACAAAAACCCCAACTCCGCCAGCAGCCGAAGGACGGGAACTCTGACAGAAAATAAAAGACAACCTCCGGTCCAACCCTGACCCTACCTACTGCGCATGTGTCTCATTCACAAGGCGTCCACATTTCAAGCCAATAGAAGCAGCGAGGGCGGAGCCACAGGGGCCTCTGCTCCCGGAGAGCCAGGAGCGGACGGTGCTCCCTCCGGCCACAGGGGGCAGTGCTCCCAGAGAGCCAGGGGAGGACGGTGCCCCCTCCGGCCACAGGGGGCACTGCTCCCGGAGAGGCAGGAGAGGACGGTGCCCCCTCCGGCCACAGGGGGCACTGCTCCCAGAGAGCCAGGAGACGACGGTGCTCTCTCCGGCCACAGGCTGCACTGCTCCCGGAGAGCCAGGAGAGGACGGTGCCCCCTCCGGCCACAGGGAGCCCTGCTCCCGGAGAGCCAGGAGAGGACGGTGCTCCCTCCGGCCACAGGGGGCACTGCTCCCGGCGAGGACAATGCTCCTTCCGAACTTGACTCTATCACAGTCTATGGAAGGTGGAGGTGGTAATTGCTTTCCAAGTGTTCGAGGAATTGCGGAAATGTGTCAGACCAATGCTCCAGTGCTGAACGTATGTTGTGAAAAAAATTCATTCCGAGTGGCATTATAACTATTCACTCTGTGTCAGCTTAAGCCATTGAATGGATTGTTAACCAAAGCATGAAACTATACTGGCTCCCTAAGCCCAATTAGTAGAGCTCTGATTTTCCTCTTGAATTCTTGCAAAAATTCTTATTTGCAGTGTATTGCAATTAGACCTTTAACACGCATTAGGTTGCGTAGTATGTAGGTAAGGAATCAATATTAGCAGTCACGTGGGTAGAAGCAGGATTGAGGAAAAAAGCCTCACAGTAAGTGGATTTTAACAGTTTCAACATCTCCTCGGCCCCAGCCTCATCCCATGTCCAACCCTCCCTCTCATCCCTGCCTGCTTGACCTGACACAACCTGTCCATCTTCCTCCCACCACTCCCTACATGCACTCACCTATCGCCATCCCACCTACCTTCCCCAGCCCCACCTGTCCTCTCCATTTATTTCTGAAGAAAGGTTCCAACTCGAAATGTCAATTTTGCTGCTCCTCTGATGCTGCCTGGCCTGCTGTATTCCTCCAGCTCCACAGTATGTTATCTCTGACTCCAGCATCTGCAGTTCTGACAACCTTCAGAGTAATATGTATTCTGGATGCAAACACTTGCACATTGACAGGGTTCCCAAAATGTTGACTGTCAGAGTTAAACAATGAAAATGGTGTTTATGTATGACACAGAGGATTCTCACTTTCTCCTCTTTATTTCAAGCTAAGTTGACAGTAAGAATAAGAAATCTCCCAGCGATTGTGAACAGGGACATCAGAGGTGAATGTCATAATGGTTGGGTAAAGTTAGAAATTAAATAGCTTCATATGCCAATCCAGAAATTTCAAACAAAACAGACCAACAAGCTGACAAGTGAAAAGCAACATTAACATTGGTCTTACCACATCTGAAGACCAAGAATTAGAGTGGACGTAAAGTGGAATATGAACCTTGACTGCAACTATGCTTGGGCTGCACGCTTCCGTTGCACTATGGTGTACAACATTAATAAGAGATTTGCCAACCCTAACTTTAAAAAAAATTGGACAATTAACATGCTGTTAACATATAAATGGCAATAATTTTCAGTTAAGAATTACTTATCAATGTAAACTTAAAGTAACTTGCTCTAATGCAATGGCCTAGTGGCATTATCGCTGGACTGATAATCCAGAGACCTAGATAATGTTCTGGGGACCTGGATTTGAATCCCGCCACAGCAGATGGTGGAATTTGAATTCAATATATATGGAATTAAGAATCCAGTGATAACTGTGAATCCATTGTCGATTGTCTGGAAGAACCCATCTGGTTCACTAATGTTCTTTAGGGAAGAAAACTACCATCCTCACCTGGTCTGGCTTACATGTGACTCCAGATCCACAGCAATGTGGTTGACTCTTAACAATTAGGAATGGGCAATAAATGCTGCCTATCCAGCGATGCCGTCATCCTTTGAATGAATAAAGGTAATAAGGTTATGACATCCAATGTCCAAAATTAAAATGCAAACTTGTATTTAACTCCCACATGGCTATTTAAGACAATTGGTGATATTTGCAGTCAAAGAAGCATTCTTTATTCCATGACATTTTAGAGTCCTTATTTTAGTAACATTAGTTGAAGCAAGTTAGTAATATAAAAGAAGATTGCAAGAGTTTTTGTAGATATATAAAAGGTAAGAGACAGGCAAGACTGACATTGGACTGCTGGAAAATGAGAGCAGAGAAATAGTAACAGGGAGCAAGGAAATTGAGTTTTTTTGAAGAATCATTGAAGAGGATTGATGAGAGCAGAGTGGTGGACGTGATCTAAATGGACTTCAGTAAGGTGGTCGACAAGGTTCAACATGATAGACTGGTTAGCAAGGTGAGATCATGTGGAATACAGGGAAAACTAGCCATTTGGAAAGAGAACTGTCTTGAAGACAGAAGACAGAGGATGGTAGTGGAGGGTTGCTTTTCAGACTGTGACCAGTGGTGTGCCACAAGGATGGGTGCTGGGTCTGCTCGCTTTTGTCATTTATATAAACAATTTGGATTTGAACATAGGAGGTATGGTTAGGAAGTTTGCATTTGACACCAAAATTAGTGGTGTAGTGGACAGCGAAGGAGATTACCTCAGTGTACAATGAGATCTTGATCAGAAGGGCAGATGGGTCGAGGAGTGGCAGATGGAGTTTAACTTAGATAAGTGTGAGGTGCTGCGTTTTGGAAAGGCAAATCAGGGCAGGACAAATACACTTAATGGTAAGGTCCTGGGGAGTGTTGCTGAACAAAGAGACCTTGGAGTGCAGGTTCATAGTTCCTTGAAAGTGGAGTCGCAGGTAGACAGGATAGTGAAGAAGTTTGGTATGCTTGACTTTATTGGTCAGACCAGGAGTTGGGAGGTGATGTTGCAGCTTACAGGACATTTTAGAATACTGCATGCAATTCTGGTCTCTCTGCTATAGGAAGGATGTTGCGAAACTTGAAAGGACTCAGAAAAGATTTACAAGGATATTGCCAGGATTGGAGGGTTTGAGCTATAGGGAGAGGCTGAATAGGCTGGGGCTATTTTTCCCGGAGCATCAGAGGCTGAGGGATGACCTAATAGGGGTTTATAACATCATGAGGGGCATGGATAGGTTAAATAGACAAGGTCTTTTCTCTAGGGTAGGGGAGTCCAAAACTAGACAGCGTAGTTTTAAGATAAAAGGGGAAAGATTTAAATGGGATGTAAAGGGCAACATTTTCATGGAGAGGGTGGTACATGTATGGAATGAGCTGCCAGAGAAAATGGTGGAAGCTAGTACAATTATAACATTTAACAGGCATCTGGAAGGATATATAAATAAGAAGTGTTTAGAGGGATATGGGCCAAATGCTGGCAAATGGGACTAGATTTATTTAGGATATCTGGTCAGCATGGATGAGTTGGATCGAAGGGTCTGTTTCCGTGTGGTACATCTCAATGACTGTATGACTCTGTAACTGAACAGGTACTTCACAGTGGAAGGCATTAGTAGCGTACCAGAACCTTAAGAGAATCGGGCAGAGGAGAGTGTAGGGGCCATCACTAAGGAGAAAGGGCTGGGACGCTGAAAGGTATGAAGGTAGATAAGTCACTGGATCAGATGGACGAAACCCCAGGGTTCTGAAGGAGATAGCTGAGGAGATTGTGGAGACATTGGTGGTGATCTTTCAGGAATCACTGGAATCAGGGAGGGTCACAGTGAAATGGCAAATGTAACACCCCTGTTTTAGAAGGGAAGGAGGCAACAGATAGGAAATTGTAGCCTGGTTTGCCCAACTTTAGTCATTGAGGAGGTTCACAAGAATGAAGGCTTATCATGTGAGGAGCGGTGAGGACTCTGAGTCTCTATTCAATAGAGTTTAGAAGGATAAAGGGAGGATCTGGTTGAAATTTACAGAATACTGAGAGGCCTGGATTGAGTGGATGTGGTGAAGATGTTTCCACTGGTAGGAGACACCAGGACCCAAGAGTACAGCCTCAGAGTGATGGGATGACCCTTTAAAACTGAAATGAGGAAGAATTTCTTCGGTCAGAGAGTGGCGAATCTTTGGAATTCATTGCCATTAAGAGCTGTGGAGGCCAAGCCATTGAGTGCATTTAAGGCGGAGATAGATAGGTTCTTGATTAGTAACGTGATCAAGGGTTATGGGGAGAAGATAGGAGAATGAGTTCGAGAAAGATCTTAGCCATAATCAAATGGCGGATCAGACATGATGAGCCAAATGACTTATTTGTGCTCCTATACCTTATGGTCTATTGGACATAAAATGTGGTCTTGTTACTGCATTCACATGTGATAAGCATTACATCTCTAGACAAGTTGTATCAAATCCAATTGTACCTGCGCTGCCCTCTTCAGATCCAGCTCTGCTGATCCCGTAAAGAGAAGGAGCTAGCAATCCAAAAATAACCTTTGTTTTGGCCAGGGAGAGATGCAGGGATATCTTCCACCTTCTGACTGACTGAAGACAATGTGTTTTGAGAGGAGAGTGTTTTAACCCTTGAGTTCTGTAACTGTCAAGGAGAGATAAATGACAGGTTTACTTGTAAAGTTTTCAACAAAGAAGGTTTAATGATTTATTACATCTGAAGAGAATATACAACCACACCTATTCACACAGTCACACACACATACAAAGGAAGGTGGTTTACGATAGAGGTAAAAGGCCAAAGATTCACTGCCATGCTTGCTCCCTTCAAGGTGAGATCTTGAAAGGTCTATGATTGCAGGAGGTTTATGAAGATGGATTTTCAGCTTGGAGGAGCTCCTTCTTCATATACCTTCACTCTAGTCAAGGTATAATCAAACCCCTTCAATGGAAACCTGGTTTGGTTCTTCAAGTAGATGCAGAAATGCCAGCACAATGAATTTTCTTCCTCCTGTTTGATTTTAGGCAGGCCCTGTTTCTTGTTAGTCTGCAATCATTTTTTTGTCTTCCTGCTGCTCCCAAAGTGTATCTTAATAGATTTCCTTTAACAAAAACCAGGCTTTTGTCAGGTGACCATAATGTCTGTATTTCATTGTCCTCACAAATGGTTTCTCATGTTTTGGCCATCAACAATTTCAATTTTAATTGCTTATATCATCTTGTGATAAAAGGTGATTCTCCTTCACACTCATTTTAATGTTCTACGCAGGCGTGCCAGCTATCTTAGAGATCCATTGGTAGACGCATATATATTGATAGAAAAGAAAAAAAGTCACCTGACCTCTTAACTCCATTTTGTTTGTAAAGTGAATTGTCCATTTTTTAAAATCCACAAGCCTCCGTGGCAAGACTGTGACACCTGCCTCATATCAAATCTGGTGTAAATCTACATCTAGCTAGATCACTCATCTCAGCTGAAACTCACAAAAACAGAATCAAGATATTAGATTCTTAATAGATAACACAGAATGATCTGCAAATCCAATAGTGATAGAAGCTCACAAGATCTGAAATTGATGCAACAGCCTTTAGAGAAATTAGGAGGCCAGT